TTTCGATGCGAATATCTCCGAAACTATAAGAGATAGAAAGTTCTCTTTTTTTTTAATTAAATGGTTTCAAAAGTACTACAAAACGGCGAAAAAGTTTTAAAAAATTGTGTGGGTGGGGGGTGGGGGTATGTTGCAAAATTTAAAAAAATTAAAATTTTTTCTTTCGCCATTTTGTAGTACTTTTGAAACCGTTTAATTAAAAAAAAAAGAGAACTTTCTATCTCTTATAGTTTCGGAGATATTCGCATCGAAAGAGAAAAACCGATATTTTTCACAGGGGTGTTCCACCCCCTAAAAGCGCGTAAGAGCACGTATAAAAAAATACGTGTCTCTTAGTTTTAGCTGGAAAACAACATATTCAAAGCTCATCCAAATCGGAGGAGGACACTTTGAAACGGTCCCTTGTTAGTTTAATTTACCCGGTAAAAAATTTGTCACAGATAAACATGAATATATTATAAAATTGCAAACTTTCGATAGCAATATTGCAGCAATGTTTAAAAATTATAAAAATACTATATTTTCTATTAAAAAAATGTTCCTAATTACGAGAATTTTATAATGTTATTTTCGTTGATACCAATAATGCGCGAATTATTAAGTACTTCCCAAATAGCACAGGACATCCTATGGATGTTCATTTTATGTCCATTATACATCCGCACGTCCATGGACATGAAACGGACGTCCATGGTATACATATACATATATATCTCATTTCAGACATCCGTCAGTGGTCAATCTTTGGACGTCTACAGGACGTTCGGTCTTGGACGTTAATGTTTCGCGCGAGTTTTGTCTTTTGTTTCTCGACTGTCGATTTATTGAAGAATGATTGGCTATCACTGCTTTATGTCGCGCGGTAAACTTTCCGCGTCCTGTTGTGCAGAAGCCAATAGTTTTTGCAATATTTTTCTTTTCAAGATTTATTTAAATTACGTTTTTTACTTTTATTTTATCACTTTTTGTAAGAGCAAAAGAATGATTGGCTATTACTGCTTCATGCCGCGCGGTAAATTTTCCGCGTCCTGTTGTGCAGAAGCCAATAGTTCTTGCAATATTTTTCTTTTCAAGATTCATTTAAATTGCGTTTTTCACTTTTATTTTATATAATGCAATATAGATTATAGATAAAAAATGTATGAAGCATTTATATTTTATTAAATGAGATGTCTTAAACTCTAATTATGATTGTACATATTGTGATTTAAAGTATTAAACTTGATATTTATAAATTAATACAGCTGTTTTGACGTATCTGGCTTTTTATTCACGTTGTTACATTAACGACGTTTCGATCGTGAATTACGATCCTCTTCAGGTTTAAAGAGAGACGAACAAGAGCCAAGTAAATAGAAAATGTATCAATATACTGTTGGACTAAATATTTTGTACGTAATAATATTTTTTTGCGTTAATTTACATATATTTTTCGATTAGCAAACTGTATACCATTATACAGTAATTAAGTTTAATTATATGGTAAATATTTACCCTTACATAGCACCCGCCAATCAACTTCCGTTTGACCTTGATGTTGACCTTGACCCCCAAGGAGGTCAAGGTCATTGCCCATTCTCGTCGCTCATTGTTTGTTAAAAAGTTATGAAGAAAATAAGTTTGTATCGGGTTTGCGAATTTCTGTAAAGCACAATATTCTTGTGTGCGTATGGACTTACAAATGATGGAAAATATGGAAAATACAAATGATATGCGAGCAGCAATTCCAAAGTATGGGATATCTGAAAAGCATTACGAACATTATTTAGCAGAATTCTTATTTAAAAGGATGTATGACTTTCCTGTTCGTTTAAATACATTCTTTGATATTATGTTTCAGATATATCCATTAAACGAAAATGTACTTGGCATTGAATCATAAATATATTTGGTGAACGCGGCACATGACATTTCTCCTTAGTTTAACCCAATCTACCACTATTTTTAAGTTGGCTACTTTTGCATCAGACACCCTGTATATATTTAACCCGGGTTAACTGTTCTGTAGAGCAGATAATTTTCCATCATTTGTAAGTCCATACGCACACAAAAATATTGTGCTTTACAGAAATACGCAAACCCGATACAAACTTATTTTCTTCATAACTTTTTAACAAACAATGAGCGACGGGAATGGGCAATGACCTTGACCTCCTTGGGGGTCAAGGTCAACATCAAGGTCAAACGGAAGTTGATTGGCGGGTGCTATGTAAGGGTAAATATTTACCAATTATTTTATTGCAACATTGTTGCAACGTTACGTAACAATATTTCTGAAGGCGGACATTTTACCGTTGCTGGGAAATTGATTTGCAAGATTGCAGCAGTGTTGCAGCAACATTTTGCAACATTTCTGCAATATTGCAATGTTGCAAAGAAATATTTCTGCAATGTTGCTGCAATATTTCTGTGCCGTATGGGCGGATCGACATTGATTTGACATCAGCCTTCTCACTGGGAAGTGAAGGTTCGTCGACTATGAAGATTCGAAGGAGAAGTGAATGAAAAACGGGCTATATTAAGAATGCCTTGGTATTTTATTTATTATGTTTTCCATTGCGCCAATTAAAAGTTTTATTTGCGCAACTGCAGAAGCATTTTTCAAGAGCGGTCCCCTCGGCGAATTGAACGCTCGAACTAAAAGAAAGAGAACGAGAGAAAGCGAAGTGCTTGAAAGATAAAGAGAGAAAACGCCTAAGAAGAACGTCCCCTTTTCCTTAATTACATTTTACATTCTCACGCAACGCATGCTCCTTTTCAGCCATCTGCCGGAACACCGATCGGAGAACGTTGCTCCCGCTGTTTCTAATAATCGCGCGACGGCGATATCGATTGATATCGATGTCGATGGTCGCGCGCGCATAGTCGACGGGCGATGACAGGCAGCGCGGATCAGCAGCAAAGATGGCGCTGATCTGTGTTATGTCAGATTTTTAAAATTGATTTGAACTCCGTCGGGGCCCTTTTCTGTCCACGACACGAGGACGACACGGAAAGACTGGATCCATCCGCTGGCGTTTCTCACGCCACGCCGCGATCGTGTCGCGACCGACGAGCGGTGTCGGGTGGCGATGACCGCGGTGAGTCACGTGTAATATCGCGCGTAGCGTTTCGCACCTAACCTAGGTCGCCCGTTGAACCTTGAACCGTTTTGTCGGGCTTGTCCATTCTCCCCATGGGACACCGCGAGTCCGCGACGAGGTGATCGCCGACTGGAACGCGCCGTCGAAGGGGGAGAAAGAGGAAGGAGAGAGGACGAGTTCCGGTGCCGCGCCGAGCCTCTGGTTCCGGACGAGCTCGGCCCATCTCGCCGACCGTCGCCGGCGGTGACACGTTCGATTGGATGCGGCTGAGAGATGCCGAAGATAAGGATCAAGCAGACGCCGAACAGTCTCTGGTTAAGGCAACGCGAGCTGGGTGTCAGGTTCCCGCTGGGCCACAGCGACGACTTCCACAGGACTCTCTACTCCTCCGTACAGCCCACCACCTCGTGGGACCACGGGGACAATCTGACCGCCGCCAGGCACGGCGGCGTCTTCAACTTGGAGTACTCGCCAGACGGGTCGGTAGCGTGTCTCAGCGACGTCGTGTCGCCTCGGTCGCCCCGGCGCTCGGTCTCACGTCTGGCCAATGTTACAGGTCCCTCCTGCTGGCGGCATGCGAGAAGAAGAGTATTTTAATGTTTGACCCGTTATGTAGGAAGTTGATACATGCGATAGATAACGCTCACAATGACTGCGTCAATTGTGTAAGGTTTGTAAGACGATTCGCCTAAGACCCCTGGTATGGTTGCGGAGGAGGAGGAGGAGGACGGCGAACGGTAGAGATGTGTGAAATATTCTTGTCAATTAGGTTTCTGGACCAGCGTATGTTCGCCACTTGTTCGGACGACAGTACGGTCGCTTTGTGGGACGCCAGGAACTTGAAGCAAAGGATAAGGACTCTTCAGGGACACTCCAATTGGGTTAAGAACATAGAGTACAGTCCGAGCGACAGCTTATTGCTGACCAGTGGCTTCGACGGTAGCATATATACTTGGGATATCAATAGGTAACGAGACAGTCGCGTAACTCGTCCTCTCGTGTTTGCACAACTAATCGCCGCGTCTTACAGTTTTACAGAAAATAGCTTTGTGTACAATCGTGTGTTTCATACGAATGGACTAATGCGAACGAGACTTACTCCCGACACTAGCAAAATGTTAATATGCACCACTTCAGGATATCTCATCATAATCCATAATCTCAAGCTCAGTACGCTAAGTCAGGATTTGGCGGGATTCAAGGTACTTGTCCCTCCAATTCCTCACTCTCTCACGCTCTCGTGAGCTCGACGGCCCTCGAGTGGCTCTCATCGTACTGTTCTTGCAGCCAAATATGTACAGACTGATGCAGTTGTCCCAAACCACCATACCTATCGCGGCGTGTTACACACACCTTTTTGCTCACACTCGTACCCATAATCGGGTAGAGTTCCTCACCGATTTCCCCGCAGGCGACGACGCCGAGGTGATATCGAGCCTGCAAGTTCACCCGCAGGGATGGTGCGCCTTGTCCCGAAACGTCAGCAGCGGTGAAAAATCCGAGGTTCGTTTGCGCGCGTGTCAGATCGCGCATTGCGTTACCAACGTTTACTAACCGCCGTTGAGTCTCATCGACCCATTTATCCCGCAGTGGACCTGCATTCACGACATACAAGAACGCGAGGCGTCCAGCAATGTGGAGCAGGTGAACGAGGGTGAGAAGGGCCGCCTGACGAGACTGAACGTGGACGAGTTCGAGGACTTTCCTCAGTCGCAATCGTCGCGCTCTGGTATGACGTCTTCCTTCCTGATAGAAAATAGGAATCGCGCCCGGATAGTGCAAGACGTAAGGTCCAATTCATTCGACTCGCCTATCCACGTGTCCGCGGACGCGGCGCCGTCGTCGATTAGGTCGTCGCTGACGAGCTGGCAGGTAATAGCGCGTAGAAATCTGCGATCCCAATCGAGAGTTCCGCGCCTGGATAGAAACGCGCTGAGAACGAGCCTCAACATGGTCGAGGTGAATTCGAGCACGAGCGCCGCCGCCGCCGACTCCAGGATAAACGCGATTCACGACGACGACGGTCGAGCAGAGGACCGGCATGTCGACGATAACGACAGTGCGCACGACGCGTCCGAGGAGAACGATTATAGATCTCCCAGACCACACTCTCAGCTCGACGACTTGCGGCGGCGTAACATGATCGACAATTTCACCAGCGGCAACGTGCAGCTGCACGTAAGCACGTCGGACGTGTGGGAGGCGCTCGTGGCAATCAGGGAGGCCCGACTTCGTAGGGAACGGGAGAGACAGTTTTATCCCGCCGCCGAGAGAAGGGACTGGCTACCCAGGTCGAATAACGGCGTGAGCGTGAATCTCCCTCGGTCGTCCCACACGGTCGTGATAATCGGCGACCGTACTCGGGTGCAGAATCTGCAGAACCAGCAAAACTTCCAGACCACGTACGCGATACCGCGGAACCACGAGATCCACCAGAACACACCCAGATTGACGCATTATATCGAGGAGCCCAATGTCGGCTCCGGTTACATCAAGGAACTGTGTTTCTCGGCCGACGGTAGATTGATATGCTCGCCGTTCGGTTATGGCGTACGATTGCTGGCGTTCTCCAGCGATTGCGCCGAGCTGTCTAATTGTGTTCCACCCGCCAACGAGTCTATGCAGCTCCACGAGTTAGCGACACACATTGGCCATTCCGATATTGTTGTTAGCACGAAATTCTCACCTAAGCACTACCTGCTTGTGTCCGGTTGCCTCAGCGGCAAGATCGTCTGGCACCAGCCGGTGGTTTAGCTAAATAGATAATTTGCTCTAGGCACTTTGTTATTTTTTCATTGATAGGTCTCTTGGTAGGTAGATATATTTTTGCCGCTTTGTATACAAGATCACGCTCATTATGCAACATATGTGAGGATCTTTTTGTTAATATTATATAATTTATATGATTATATATATATATGAAATTATATACATATAATTATATTTTTACTTGATATATATATATATATGTATATATGCCTTTTTAATGAATGTTATTTAATATATATTATATCAGTATGGGGTATATAATACATGTATAGATATGTACACGGTTCCACATTTTCTACTGCTTAATTACACTTTCCATCTTGAGAAAAGTTTTGCGATATTTATTTTATGTTTAGGCTTCAGAAGAAGTAAGCTTTGCCGCTGTTCTTAGTTGCACGTCCGTGTATGTAATTCGCGACGGCATGATTCGTGCGCGTGCACACGATAAAACGTATTAAATAAACAATTGTCGCATCTCTTTACCTATTAAATTTATCGATGGTATTGGTGATACGAACAATGGATGGAAAAAAACGCAATACGTTAACAATCGTGTTAATAACGCGGTCAATTTCTTGATATTATTTCGTGCATCAAGTTAACTGTTTGTATCATTTATATTTGCTCGATGAATTATCCTCGCAGTGATTTTATCTCCTCGCGTAAAAACGCGCTGCTATAATTTACCAATCCTGCAAATTCATCCGATCACGACCTACAGATGTAAAGTATCAAATATTTTATTTGCAAAGGCACCAAGTATATCATTCATACATGTACATATAAAGCGTGGTTTGAATAATTTAATTCGTATATTCTAACGCGTTAGTATAATTTTCGCATTAAAGAACAAAATGATTATTAATAGAAATTATCTCGTGGAGAAAACAACTTTATTAGTGAGCTTTAATTTCCTTCTTCGTTTAGATATGACGTGATTTCTGTTTTTGTTTTCGTAAAAAAATATATCTAGATTTTTTTTATTCTATTGGTAGAGATCGTGCGAAAAAAAAAGTATATCAAAGTAGGAATGTATATCGATTAAAAAAATCTTTGTTTAAAAGCTATTATTCTTATTTATTAACATTATTATAGGAAAAGCTTGTAATGCAACGATAAAAACGAAGGATATGAGTATTCAAATAATGAACATTTATATCACCTATCTCTGATTGATAAAAAAAAACGTAGGAAATCAAGAAATAAGTGTGTGCTTAATTTGTAATGCATTGCTTTACAGAAGCACCGAACATTGTATTGTGTTTGATTCTATTAACGAATTATATAAATAAATTGAGAACACAGCTTGTCTAAAAAGTCTCTTAACGAGAAAAATAATTCCATGATTTCCGCTTTTACGTCATTATATTTCACGGCAAATTCTTTGATTAATTTGTTTTTCTTGGGAAAGAAATTTGAAAAAATTTTTTATTTCCTTGAAAACGAAGTTTTGGTCAAAGAATTGCCACTTGTGCATAAAAATGCGTACATATACATATTGTATCGATGAAAATAAATACAACCGGTGACTGATTGTGTTGTAAACCCGCACCATGTCCAAATATGTAATAAACTTTTTTTTATCACATTTTCGTCCAGTCCAGAATTGGCATTTTGGCATTAAAGTTTCCGTAGCTTCATTTTAGTCGTCAGAATTTTCGTTCGTGTCCAATAAAACGGTCGCTAATGGTAGAAAGTGCGGAACATTCTTCATTTCTTATTTCTTCTTTGCACGTAACACCTGTCCAACGCTTTCTCTCGTAAACACGTATTAATAGATTGTAGCAAATAAAAATTGGCAACTATTTTACACACGTTACATTGGCGTATAACGCGTGTGATAACAGTGCTGTAATTTGCAATTTTTTAAGAATTCGAAAATCGGTCATCAAGTCGAATTCGAAACTGTAGCGTGACTCTTTGCAAGAATGATGTATTTAAGAAAATCATGTTTTTCTATTATAATCAATTTACATTACACCCTTTAAATTACATGCAATGTACGTTACTTGAGTTGAAATTTTTGTCCACGAGAGCGACGAAAATGGCATTGCGGCATAACAATATCACGAAATGTTTTAGTACTTTTGTAAGTGAAAATTTTTATGTTCGTCAAAGTTATAATGGCCTTTAATAAGAAGGCTATATTCCGTTGCGCTTTGCCGAGAACATCTGCAGTACATTGTACTATAAATGTGTTTAACACAATAAAAAGGAGTATAATCGGATTACTTATAATCCGGGATGAAATTAATTACCGTCGCAATAGTACAGTAGTTGATTTGCAATATTACATGTATAGCAAATGCTGTCGATCATTTATAAGGATCAATTTTATCACCGAGATAATACGACTGGATATATAAAACTCTGTATATTACCTAAAGTTGTAGAAAGATAATTCAAACCTGTCATTAGACTTGTATCATTAAGAACGGGAAAAGGGGGATGGCATGTCCTGTAATATATATATAAATGTGTAAATATGTTGACGATTATGTATTAAGATAGTAATCTCTGCGTTTAAAGTGTTTTACCGTTTAGTTGTTCGATACGAATTACACCCGTGTATCCTCCAAGTTTTGGATCAGTCATCAGACATTGTATATCAGATCGTAAACAGCGAAAAATCACTTATTATTTTTATGAATCAGTTATCAATTTATCATTTTTATGAATTTTCTATGGCAAACATAACAATTTTTATACACCATTATTCTATTCGAAAAAGATTTATGCAACGCGTTCTAAAACTTTTATATTTTGATACAATTTAAAGCTGTCTTTTCTTACATCTTGTACGTTTTCCATCATTTGGAACGTTAAATTTTTTTTAACAATCCCGTAAATTATAAAAAAATTTGTAGTACAATGATCGACCGATAAGGTCGATCTGCATTATTACATCTAGATCTGGTATCATATGTCATCGTCTTGATTTCCACTAGTTTCCGAATTTTTTTTATGTTCTAATGGTAACTGGTCCGAAATTTTTATTGACAGAAATCGGTATTTTAAAATCATTCACTCGCGCAATATCGGCGCGGAAGTCGTAAATAAAATTACGGAATGTACAGTTTGTGCTCGTGAACGTTAAACGTGCAGCAGATGACATGGATGTGAAGTATGCGTGTGTGTTTTACGCTCATATTTCTGCAGCGGTCAAATTGATGAAACTTTGGAAAATAATTTTTATATATGTAGGATTTTCTATTGCTTCTTTTCACAGAGACTTAGAAAAGTTGTGAGAAGCATCAGAAATTTTAAAAATTGCATAAAATGTAAAACATAAGCTTTTTTTATAAATAATGTCAGTAGATGAATATTTGTAGATTTTTCACCGTTTAATTTCTGAGAACATTTACTGCGGTTCTATTGCAATGCAAATTTTAACACTGCAAGACAACTGTTCGTGGTATTTAAATCTAAAGATACTTTTAATGTAATATATTCTTTTTATATTAAATATAAATTAATTCAGTTCTTAACTTTTTTTATTGGTCATTTTTGTGGACAATTGATATACGTGCAGCATCGAGTTTTTCGTTAAAAAGTCTTAACCTTTTTTTATAAGTTTTCTTAAAAACTAGCCAGTATAAAAATTCTAAAAATCACATGCTGATATTATTTCTAAAAGAGTTTATGTTTCAAATTTTACGCAATTAACATTTCTGATTCTTCTTATAGCCCATTTAAATAAAACCCCTACGCGGGCGTCTCGTAAAAATACGAATTATCGTGAATTTATATGCAATAATAGATAACGGATAAAAATGAGCGTTGTTGGAGATCGTACATAAATTATCTTTTCTTTTTTGTATAACTAGTGACAAGTAGCTTCTATCGGTTTTTTCTCGTACTCTAATGTTAATGTTGTGTACACTAGTTGCGTGTGTGATCGTTTTGTAAGTTGTTTTTTTTATTGTATACAATAAAACCTTGCTTGATATCGTATTTGCGCATATAACTTATACAAGTAGTTCTTAATTCCTGCGCAAACGAACTATAATAAAAAATTCTGTGACAATTACTTGAAAAAAAAACTAATGTGATGAAAATGACTTACATTACACTTTACACTCTTTTAATACTCAGTTCATTAATTTGCGCTAAGCCAATTGTAAATTTTATTAAGGTAATAAATGAAACGAGAGAAAAAGTTTGTCAAAAATTTTTACTATTTTCTTCAAGTAGAATCTATAGGTCGAGCTTTTCTTGATTCTACCGAGAAACAGGACAGTGCACACAACAACTTGGAGACAACTGTGTCAAGATTACCTTTATTATAACAAATATTTTAACTTATTTACAAATATATATGCCAGCACAAAACTCAACAAGTGCCTATTGCTGCAAACGCCTCCTGCACCAGCTGTAAACCGATGTTTGCAAAACTCGATCGGGCTTTCACGTCTGTGTTCTTCTATCTGGTTTAATCGTGATTTTTTTCCCTTGGAATTATATCAATTATCGCGTTATGCATCGTAATGTCGCGATACTAGAAAATACACATTTATTGTGATTATAAGCTCGCACTTCTCCCAGATCATTGTTACAACTTCTTTACGCGACGGATTGCGACACGTTCAATGTTCATGCACCGCAAGAACAATATCTTCCGTTCTCGTTATATGTAATAACATATGTAAACAATTTAAGGCCAGGAAAATATAACCGCGAGCAATATAGGATGTTGTCATTAAAAAGTGTATAATTAATTAACCGATGATAAACTAAATATTGTGTACGTTCCCATACAGCACGTATGTCTAAAAGGTATCTTTAAGACATCTTTAAGGCGTCTTTTAGGCTCGATTTCACCAACGTCGCTTAACTTTAAACTTAGCTTAATTCGTTCTCGGTCTCTGTTCGACTCTTACTTTAGATAAAAGGCAAACGTACGTTAATTAAACCAAGATTAAAATTAAACGATGTTTGGTGAAACTGGGCCTTAGACATGCGTGCTGTATGGGTTTCAACCTCACCGAGTCTTCTTCGGCATAATAATTAATGGAAGAAATAAGTTGAATCGAATTAATTTTTACTCATTTTAAAATTATGTTGACACGTTTGACTTTCAGTTTTTATATAATTTTTATTCTTCTATTAATTATTGTACTAAAAAGACTTACAAAGTAAAATCGAAACGTATACATAACGTTTAGTTTACCGTCAGACAATAAATTATAAATTTTTAACGACAACATCTTATATTGCTTGTTTCTTTTGGCTCTTGACTCTCCAACATATATTTTATGTTACTTTCTTTTAGCGATAACATTTAATATCTTTTTGCACACGATTATAATTCTGATACCAGATACTTAGATTGCACAATTAATTCTATTACTGCAATAGAAAAATTAATGCGCGTATCGACATACGTGAAGTTAATAAAATTCTATTTTCTTCATTAATTAAAAGAGCGCGATAAAAGTGTCAGCGTCATCAAACCATACAAGTTCGAGTTCGGCCTAAAGAAGGGAGCAGCGGCTAACGGTAGTCTACGCAAAGAACACGATTGAGGGTGGATCGAGGTACCAGAATCGCGAGACGCGAGCTTGACAGGCGGATTGTACTACTGTATAGGAAACCAGCGGGTTTTCTCAATGGTTAGTAATGCCTTCCCCGGTGTTAACGCAGTTGAAGAATATTATCGTCTACTATTCCCGAACCATGGTGGAAATATACAAGGTGAACCATTGCGCATAAAGAGAGGGGGTATAATCTTCCTTCCAGCCAATAAGCGGCGTGCTTTTTTGCGTGGCGGCAGTTTGAACGGTCAAACAAATCATAACCCAACCTAATCTTAAAGAGGTATCCGCAAAAAAGCACGGCTCTTATTGGACGGATCGTCCCCACTACTTTTAGGCTACTGCGCGTCCACGGGAATGGTTCACCTTGTATACTTCCACCATGTCCCGAACGATCCTGTGCCGCCGTGAGCCGCGCGGGCGCTCCCAAGACGATCGTCTTCCGATTCCTCCCGGCGCCTATCCGTCGAGGACACGCCGTGCCATCGTCGGAGGACAGGGGGTGCCGGTCACCGCGATCTCTCAGATCGCGGGGCGCGCCGCGATCGCGAGCAGAACGACCCATCCGAGGCTGCTGAGGCGCGCACCGCCGCCGCTGACCGATTCGACCCGATCGCCGCCGCGCTGAAAGTCCGCGCTGGACATCGTGCGGCCGACGTCCAGCGGCGATCTCTTCGACCTCTCCACCAGCTTCAACCTCGTGCTGGTCTTCGACAGGAGCTCGCGCGGCGGCAGATCGACGAGCAGCGGCAGACGGTTCTTCTTGCCGTACGAGGGCGGGATCGAGTCGTTCGCGCGCATCTCTCCCGGGATCAGCGGCGGCAGCTCGCCCTGGAACTTGCCGAACTGCGGCGTTCTGCTGAGGATGTCCGAGGTCAGCCGGCCCTTGCCGCGATGCTCCACGTCCGAGACGGACCTGGCCAAGCCGGTGGGGTCCCGCAGCTTCTTACCGTCGTAGGTGACCAGAACGCCGGAGGAAGAGGACGACGGCAGCTGCTCCGGCCGCGTCCTCCCGATCGGCGGGAGATAATAGGTGTCCAGTCTGAGGTCGGCCGCCATCTCCATGTCGTCGAGATCGTCCAGGCGAGGCGGGGAGACGCGCGTAGCTGGCGACGGCTTCTTCTTCCGCTTTCTGCCGCCGTCGATCGCGGACGCCGTCACCGGCAGCGACGGCACGAAAACGGGCGAGAACTCGTCGATCGTACGATAATCCCCGCTCTTCCTGAGCAGCCCGTCCTGCCACGACCCCGCCGAGAGCCTCTTCTGCGCGACATCGACGGGCGCTCGGTCGACGACGTTTCTGATGATCGGTTTGAAGCCGCTCTCGATGACGATGGAGTCGGGATTGAAGCCGGTGTTGCGCGCGGGTTTCAGAAGCTTCCACGAGGAAGAAGAAGAAGAGGAGGAGGAGGAGGAGGAAGAGGACGAACCCAAATGATTCTCGGAGGAAATCTCCGAGCCCAAGCCTACCTTCGCCTCGAGTTTCGCGCGTTGCTTCGAGTCGATCTTCGCCGCGAGTTTCTCGGACGTAGGCTTGTCGGCCGTCGTCCTCGGAGTCGTCTTCAGCATCGCCTTCAGCGTCGTTATTGCGACGGGCGGCCGGTAAACGGACTTTTTGCGCTCGATGAGGATCGGCCGCGGCGAGGAGGACGGGAACGAGAACGGGAACGGCAAGGATAACGCGCCCGTTATCGTATTGGCGGCCTGCTGTAACGTCTGCAACATCGGATGGCGCGTTATTGTCACCGGTCGGCGGATGATCATCAGTTGGGTCCTCGGCGGTTCGGGCTGATGATAGTAACGAGAAGGGGGCGGAGGAAGCTGATGGCGGACGTAGTGATGGTAATTGCTCGCGTAATGATGCGGCGCTCGGGAAAACGGTAGCTGGGTGTTGCTGATGGCCGCCGTTACGTAGGGCAACCTCGTCCCGTGACTCAGTGACGGTCGCTGGTGATCTGCAACGAGGTTAGACAATTCCTGGTTAGTGGCGGTATGCTGAATATCCCGCGCGAGCTCCGTGAGATGAGTTCCAGCGTGAAGAGATGATGACGGTTCGTGAACGATCGTGGTCGAGCGATGTTGCTGCTTTTGCTGCGACTTCTGCTGCTGCTGCTGCTGCTGCTGCTGCTTCTGCTGCTGCTGCTGCTGCTGCTGCTGCTGCCGTGGCAGAGCTTCGTCAGCGCGATGCGCGTCCTTCGGACGTGCCCCGTACGAGCTTTCGGACGATGATGATGATTGCAAGCGATCGTAATTGTTATTCGTTAGTAGCTGCGGATGCGAGACGCTTAGCTTGCTGTTAGTCGCCGAATGATGATGGGGGTAACGGTGGCCGTATTCGCGGTGAGAATGATGGGCATGCTGTTGATGAAGGAACTCCGCCGTTGGCGTTACCTTGCTCGGCACGGCAATACTCGCGCCGTACTCCAGGTCCTGGCGGTCCTGGTCCGGCTCCGCGTACACCTCGTGCTTCTCGCTGGCCGCCGGCTGCGCCGACGCCTCGCTAGCGTCGCAGCTGTCGAGAACGTTGATCTTCCAGCCCAGGTAACGATGCGTGAAGCACTGGAAGAAAGAGGAGAAAGGACCGACTTGCGGAATCTTCCGGTGCGAGATGAGAAATATATCCAGATGCCGGATTACCTGATAGTACACCGTGTCGGGGGTGTGCTCGTCGGGTGTCCACTCCACGATGCCCGGCTCGCCGTGGTCACACAAGAGGGTCAGGGTGCGCTGGTAAGCCCCGAAGGACGCGAACTCGTCCGCCTCCGGTGCATTTTCATCGTGCACCCAGTTGCAGAGGCGACCCACGCCCGTGGGGGTGACCTTGCCGCGTTGCCGGCGCACGCCGGCGAATATCTTCACTTTCTGTCAAGATCAGAGAGCGAACGACCGTTACGATTCGCGTTTCATCCGGGTCTTTCTGTTCGCGCCGGCGTCTACGCTCTCTATCAAGGACATCGTTCAGTTCGTGAAGATTATTAACCCTTAAACTACACACTATCTATTTGAGACATACGCTACACATGGGGTCAATCTGACCCTCGCTAGTTTAAACAATTGCTGCAATGATACTATTCATTTTTTGATGTTGTAAAAAATTAGACATGTTATATTAACATTAACATGTATAAGGATAAACTTGGTTCGAGCCATAAATAATGATTGCAATAATTTAAAACAATTAAAATGTAGAAAGAAGCTCAGAAAATGCCGTTTTTTACTTAAAATTCAATAACTTTTTCATTTATAATATTTTAACCTAAAAATTTAACTGGATACTCATCCCAAAAAAGGTATTTACTTTGACAACCGAAGGTGTGATATTTCGGAAAAATTGAAGGCACATTTTTACTGGTCATTGCAATAAAAATTAATTAAATAAATTAGTAAGACTCGTATGTGTTAAACACAAATTTCAAAGAATTTAAAGGACTCAGAGCCGTGACAGGATGGTAGTGTCTAAATATTCTATTCTAAATTTATTGCGAAAAACCCCGGCCGAAGTGATATTTTTGAACCTCTGAGTCCTTTAAATTCTTTGAAAAATTAATTATATTATTCGTCTTTTGCGTGTAAAATGTTTTTTTTACAAAATATATGATAAATAAAGGTTGAATACATTATTTCAATACAGCAATCTGGCGTATGCTCCGAGTTCTCAAATTATACGCCATCTAAAAGTATATTATAATTTATGTTAATAACTAATTTAAAAAATCACACGGTATTTAAATTAATACTTACATTTTTCTAGTTGAAATGCATTAAAATTAAACAAAAAAAAATTATGAAAAAATTCCTCCCAATATTCGTACACTACACAGGGGGTCAGATTGACCCCAGCGTTTTAAAGCGTCTACTTTGAACGGCTGTCACTAGTCAACTAGCACCTTGGGACCCACAACTAATGTGTAGTCTTAAAAAGGAAGACATCAACTAACAACAAATGGCGCCATAAGTCCCAACTTCACATTTTATATAGGAGATATTTAAACGCAAACTTTTGTTGGGGTCTCCTGGACCCCGGGTGTAGTTTAAGGGTTAAATAGCTATATATTTAACTGGGGGAGATTCGAGATCCGAGTTACACGGCAACGTGGGGGGCTTCTCTCAGTCACTTGCTTTACCGCGGAAGTATTATACTATAAATATAGCAAGTCCATTTTAACATTTTGCAAATCAAAAACAGAACTAATGTTCCTTTCTTCCGGGAACGTTTTGCATGCAAGACGATTTACCGCTTTCTCCTCGGCCGTTTTGTGATAGTAGCCGCCTATCGGGTCGTCGGTGATGTAGAATGGATGATAACGCGCCGGGAAATTGGGATCCTCGCCGCCTTCCACGACGAAAGTGTATCTT